GCCCCCCCTCCGGGACCCTCAACCCTCCTGAAGCCGAAGCTTCATGTGCCAAGGTCATCCCGTCAGGTTGACAACCCAAGACCCGAGAAGCATATGAGGCAGGCAGAACAGGAGCACGCACCATGTGCCCCAACTCTTCATACTCCTTGAGAAAATCACTGTAAAGCTGTAGAGAATTCTGATTCTTTCCCAACCTCCTGAGCAGGCTCGAGAGACACGCCTTGGCGCGGCCTAGAGAATCACCGAGCTCTGACGGAGAACGAGCAAGAGGCAGTCGAACAACATAACGCCCCGAGCGATCTCGAACATGGGTGCGCTGAAAGAACTCCTCACAATCTGCCTCTTCCTTCGTGAGAACACCATCATTGCCTTCAGTTTTAGAGACTTCCTCCTGCTGCCAGAACGAGGTGAGAAGATCGCCAAGTTCCTCATTGCTGACAGAGACGTGATTTGAGCTTGCCGCGGGGATCACTGCGGATGTAGGTCCGAGAACCACCCACCCGAGGAGAGTAAGCATCGCTATAAGGGAGTCTGACGGCCCCTTGATAGCCTGCGGCTCCACAATCGATCCAAAGAAATCTGCGCCAATGAGAAGATCAACAGGTCTTGACGTCAGATAATCAGGATCAGCTAACTCCAGTCCTCTGAGATGCTCCCAATGTTGAGTTTGAGAGACCGTGAACGAAGGCAATGAAGATGTGAGATGATCGAGTACATAGGCCTTGATGAGAATCTGATTACTTGAATACAGAGTCTTGAGAGAAAATCGAGAAAAACCATTGGATGAAGACTTTGATCCACTAATACCAACGACCGGTAGCAAAGCTGGAGATACCGATAAGCCGAGCTTCCCAACAAGGTCATTTGTAGCAAACGTCAGCTCTGAACCAGTATCCAACAGCATCCTAACCTCGTGAGAAGAGCCATCGTCCAAGACGAGCGAGGCTAGCGCTGTGGCGAGAATAACACCTGGTCTGAGCTGCAGAGAGATATCACGATTGATCGATGCTACAAACGGAGAATTACTCGCCAGAGTCGGCCGTAGAGAATGGTCACATATCGACGACGACTCTGGCGCAATCGTTGGTAGAGTAGATCATGGTTGAGCCATGTCAGGCCTCGAGACAGTGGACTGTATCGGTTGGTTGGACTGAAGAGCCTGCGATGTGTGAGGAGCCTGCAGAGTTTGATGAGGCTGAGGAACCCCTTGCTGTGCCGACTGAGGGCGATTGATATGAATCATCGAGTGATGATTCTGTCGACACACGACACAAGTCTTCTTGAGGCTACGGCAATTCTCTCTATTGTGCCTCCCCAAGCAGTTAAAGCAGCGACGCTTGAGGACTACAAACGATCTCCTCTCTGTAGAAGATAAAGCCTTGAATTTTGGACACTTGTCCAGAGAATGCTCCTCTTCACACATCGGGCAAGCACGAAAACACATCTCCGCCCAACCTTGAGACTGCGACCTTTGAGCAGCTTGAGACGTACTGCTAGTAGAGACATTCACCCCTGCAGGCTGCGACGCTGGATTAGCTGACACGTTGAGCACTCGGGCTGGTTGAGCTCCTTGGCTAGGTGGATACACTTTGACCGGCCTAGGCTTCGAAGCCTGTTGAGGATTCGTAGAGAGAGACCGAGAGGTAGCCGACTGAGATGGAGGAGCGTGCATTTCAATTCTCTCCCTCGCCCTGGCCCGGCTGAGAACAAAGTCCTTGAGTGTCGCATAAGTGGGAAAATCCGTAGATGAGCCTATCTCTATTTCCCAATCCTCCAGCGTCTTGGAGTCCAGCCGACCTGTCACGAGATGGACAAGCATGTCGTCCCAATGCTTGACAGGACGTCCGAGAGACTCCAAAGCATTCAACGGTTCAGCTACAGAGTTGAGAAGTACGTTAAACTCCCTGGCTGAGCGATTGACGACCTTTGGAGCAGAGAAGAGCTTCTCCAACTGAGTGGAGATGAGCAACCTTTCGTTGTCGTACCTCGACAAGAGAGTATTCCACGCTGGCATGAAGGAGTCTTGCGTCACTGGCAAGGTAGAGATGAGCGGCCTCGCCAGTGAGAGAAGTGAGTAGATAGTGGAATTTCTCCACGGTAGAGAGAGAAGGATTACCGACAACCATAGAGAGGAAGAGATCCTTGTACGGAGTCCACTCCGAGAACTCCCCTGAGAATGTCGGCAGAGAAATCTTGGGCAATTGCCTCTGAGTCACCTGCGCTGATTGAGTTGTGGCAGATGGCCGACGGAACGACTCAGAGAGGTCAATTGACTCGTCCAGTCCTTTGATCAACCCCATAAACGTAGTTCGAGCGGCTGAATACGTCACGAGACATTTATCATAGACCCCCTCTTTCACGTACGCATGGTCGAGAACTTCCTCATTATCTTTTGCCGTCAACAGCTTGAGATGCAACGCGTCGAACATGCTCCAATGATTCTCGAGCATGTCTAGCTTGGACTGAAGCTCAGTCACCGTGAACTCGTTCACATTTCCGGCGACAGATTCAGCTTTCAGGCTCTCAATGAATTTCGCCCTGCTGGCCTGGATCAAGATTCTCCCCTTAAAGGACATGTTCACGCTAGAGAAATGCAAGTAAGCGAGAGAACGTCAACAAAAAACTCATAAAACAAGCGAAAATAGAGAAAATTGTAGCCAGCAGCAGCTTCAGCAATTACAATTTACTTGCGCACTACGAGGAAACGAAAAATAAGCAGAGAAAAACAACAGCTCACACTCCAAGCAGCAGCTAACAGCAGCAAAAGCAGGAAAAGTCAATAAATGAGAATAATATAATTAACTTTCCTTTGAGAAGGTCTAGTAGATATAGAGATGCTCCAAATACAGCAGAGAGGTTCCGTTGGCAAAGCTGTAGGCCTAAAAACCACGTGTCGTGCGTCAAAATGACCGGTCCTGTCAACTGAGGGTGTGGCCTGGTGGGTGGAGTCTTGTAGACATCGAGATGGGCGGAACGGAGGGCGCCACGGTGGGCGGAGCAATCGAGTCTTGGCGTCCCCGGACTTTAACCCACGTTTTACCCAGAACGCACTTAGCACAATTGTTCACCAAAAAACCACTGAATTAACCACGCATCCGGCTCGAAGGACCAATGTTTCGGCGAGAAAGTCACAAAAATCGAACCGATGGAGTACTAGGATGCGGGTTAAGGAGCGTTTTGGCGAAAAGAATGTGACACGAGACACGTCAGTTTTGTCACAATGAAACTAATTTATTTCGAGTCAACACAGTTACTTGCGTAAAAAATATTCACATAAAAATAACCGCGAGCAAACACTCGATGTATTTATCACGGTAGAGGATTACACGGGGTAGAGATGCACACGATAATTAGAGGTAAAACGTAGAGGAATTTTAGAGGACCACGCTACTCGATAGAACGTCCGAACAGAGAGAGAGTAGCAATAATCATAATTCAGAGAAGTAGGTCAGCGCTACAGGTGCGTAGTTGGGGCACCTGTATTGGAGCGCGGCCGGTCAGGCAGAGCTAGTCAAGGAGGTGCTGCCACCCCTTGGTCAGATGCGGTATGAGGCTGTTGCCTCAACAAATATTGATTTCCAGCTAGTAGCGGTTCGACTGCTGCTTCTATTCATTGATGGACTATACGCTCGAGGATCTTACCAGCGGTATCGAGCATGCAGAGGGGACGATACGATGAGGGTTCGTCCGGTGGTTTCTTCCCTTTTGGAAGCAATACTAACCTCTGCTGCTTCCACATGGCAGGGAAGATGCCTTCCCTGAGGCACTCGTTGTAGACGTCCAGGAATAGTTCCGACATCGCGTGGACAGCTAATTTCAGCCCAACATTGGGGATTCCATCTAAGGCAGGGGCCTTGGTGTTTCCCACTGTATTGCACGCTTCCATCAATTCTTCTCTGGTGATTTATGGAACCATCAGCACTTCCCCTTGTTGGCTAGTACGATGGAGTTCTGATTGTTGCGGGAACAACACCGTTACAATTCTCTTCATCAGCACCGGGCACGTTGGCGACGGCATTGGTTGACTCTTGAGTCGTGTCATCACCACTTTATAAGATCTACCCCACGGATCGCGTTCCACCTCATCAAGAAGTTCACTCCAAGATTGCTTTTTACTGAACTTAATAGCTTTGCTGAGTTTCCGACGTGCCTTCTTGTATCTAATGTGCAGCTCCTCAAAGTTCGGCTTCTTCTGGCCACGCTGAGATAATCTCCTGGCTGCGTTACACTCTTTCCACAGGATTGCGATGGTTTCGGTCCACCAATACACCGGTGGATGCCGGTTTGTGGTCCGCTTCCTGGTCATGGTGGCATCGCATGCTTCTGCTACTCTTTTCATGATGCTTCGCGTCTTTTCAGTTGCACTGCTGCCACTGATCGCGCGGTCGTCTAATGCTGCTGAATAAGAGCCAGGATCAAAAGTACTCACTCTTGAGCCAGCGCTGTTGGTCTTCTTGGCCGCTAAGGCTATTCTCTGGTCAGAACATGTCTCCCAGAGAATCGCACGGTGGTCACTCGCAGTGTAAATATCAGTCACTCTCCATGAGCAGTTCCTCTTGGCAAGAGTGGTGCTCACGAAAGTGAGATCCACAATTGAGCTCGCCTCTCCTCTAATGAAGGTCGGTTCATTGCCGCTGTTCAACGAGACCACATCCAACGACGCCATAGCTCCCAGTACAGCTTGCCCCTTGGTGTAAGTCTCCTTACTTCCCCAGTCGACTGCCCAGGCATTGAAGTCCCCGGCGATTGCCACGGGAAAGTGCTGCTTCGCATCCTCAGTCAGTGCGTCCAGGAAGTCTGTGAACTCATCAATGGAAAGGCTCGGTGGGGCGTAACAGCTGTAGAAGTAGATTTCATCAACTTTCGCCTTCACGAAGCCATTTTGTATTATGTCACTCGTGGTACTCTGAAATGGTCGGTTCCCATAAGACCAGATTACCGCCTTCTTGGTGCCGTCAATAACCCAGGGTTTAGTATCCAGGTGACGGTATAACTCTGAGATTATCACGATCTGATCGATCGACTGTGCTCGTACACTTGGTGGCGAGATACCCGTAGTGCCAGCACTTAAAGCACTTCAACGGTCTCTCCACTCATCTTATGCGGCAATTCACCCAGCCTATCTTGATCTTGCCGTGCTCTCCCAGGATCTTCTTCGCAGTAGATACCGCGAGTACCACTGAGGCAGTCTGGGTACCTCCATAAGCTTTAGGAAAGGACTTGATCGCATCTGCTTGGATCTCGTGTTCCTCCCCAGCTGCTACTTTTAGGGCTTCGATGACGTCCTCCTTCGATGTGGTTTCGTCAAGATCTTTGATCTCGAGATCTNTCACCCAGCCTATCTTGATCTTGCCGTGCTCTCCCAGGATCTTCTTCGCAGTAGATACCGCGAGTACCCCTGAGGTAGTCTGGGTACCTCCATAAGCTTTACGAAGGGACTTGATCGCATCTGCTTGGATCTCGTGTTCCTCCCCAGCTGCTACTTTTAGGGCTTCGATGACGTCCGCCTTCGATGTGGTTTCGTCAAGATCTTTGATCTCGAGATCTTCTTGTGGCCCCTTACTCAGCACCTCAGCCTCATCTCCAAAGAGATTGCCGATGGCCGTACGCAGCTTAGGTGCTCCGTCAGTCGTCTTTCGGCTAAGGATGATCAGCATATCCCCGGTTGCTGTACGGCGGATCTTATCGACACAACCGACAGCGTCCTCGGAGGGAACATCCTTCTTCACCCGACGAAGTATATCGGAGTACTTCTACTTGTCCTTGGGGCGTATAATCAGCGCATCAGGTCGCATCACTGATTTCCGAGTAGCCCTCTCCTGTTTCTTTTTCTTTTCCATCTTTTTGGGAGGCAGCTGTGGATGGAGCTGTCCGGCCTGCCTCTTTTTCTCCTTCTTGTTCTTC